CTTTAGGGTTTTAGGGTTTTGAGGCCCTATTCAACTCTACAAACCCGTACGTGGTTCCACCGGATACCGAACCCTCTCCTGATGTCACTTCCACCATACACCCCGACGATGTAATGGAGGCAATACTACGCTATCCCAATAAGGGACCTGGCCCCGACAGGATCCACATCTTCCTCCTGAAGGCCGCAGTGGAGCGCTCTACCGAACGCCGGACATTGGGACGCCCCCACGCCAATAGCCCACTGATTAGACTCCTTGCCGAAGCATTCACTGAGCTACTGAAGGCGGATAACTTCCCCGCAGCCCTGAACTGCAGCCTCCTATCAGCGCACCCAAAGAAAGCCGATGCAGATATCACCTCCCCAGCCGACTTCCGCCCCATCACGCTTACGCAAATAGTCAGACGCATCTTTGAAAAGTGCTTTCTTAATCTGATTACGAGCCACCCCGGCTCTGCTACTCATGCTACCCAAGCTGGCTTCAAATCACGGTACTCCTGTCATACCCAAGCACTTGCCGCCATGGAATCTGAGACACAGTCAGAAGAGGAGTGGAACGACGTCTGTCTGGACATAACCAAGGCATACGACAAGGTCGCTCTCCCACGCCTATGGGTACTTCTGCGTCACGCTGCCATCGACTGTATCACCTACGCAACAAATCCCCCGCGCGACTATTCCAATCCGAAATCCGGGCTCATCAGAACCAAAGGCTGCTATGCCGCCAACCCACAAATCTTCGGAGGGTTCTACTATGACCTGAACAGACCCTGGGTTCAGCGACTACCAAACCACTCGTTCCGCCCACGTCTGACCGTTCAAAGCAATGCTCAAATGTTCAAAGATATTGCGTACCAACGACGGTCTCCGCGCCAACCTTGCATACCAGGTACTGGTGACACATGCGCCACCCTCGCTGGCTACTTTGAGGACCTATTGAGCTTTAAACTCCGATGGATTTTTCTAAGTCTTAAATTATGTTTTTTAAACTAAGATACAATTTAAGTCAGTTAGGATTTAGCAGTGGCGGCTTGTGTAAGAATGATCGGGACTGCCTCTTGGTAAGAGCCTTAGTATCCTCGATCACACAGGACGTACCTCTAGCTGTTCTTTATTGTATAATTTTCACTAAAAGTATTTGTAGATAGAAACAAGAATTTACGTCAAGTTAATACATTAGCTAATATAAATAAAGTTCCATCTGAATAAAAGTTATAAAAAAAAGAAAAGGACTTATTGGATTTTAGAGATTGGCGGGAAGACCGAAACTTGTAAGGAGTAGGAATAATATTATTTATTTCAAAAATGGCAAGTATGTATGATACAATGTATGAACATATGGTATGGCTCTCATAGTCGATGTAGTGGTTCAGGAAAGATTGATGGGAAGAAGTGGTCAGTAAATTCCCGTTTGAAGCTTGGGCCAAGTGAGTCGACAATGGAAGATATGTGCTGAGTCAATTCGGGCCGGTGTTGACAAAATACTGTTACTATAGAGTACCCACCTCTGTGGTACGGATCGGGTCTGCGCCGTGTAGTGCCGCGGAATGGGTTAGTGCAGAGTACGAAATACCGAGAAGGACCAGGTTATCCGTCATAATCCGGTCGAGAAGCGAGGATGGGGGTAAGCCAATGCCACACCAGACCACGGATGAATCCGGTATACATTAGTGAAGAGACTGTCTAATAGTAGTAAAACGAAGATGTACAAACAAATAGCGAAGGGAACTTGGGTCCGTACGGAATGGAAGCGGTTAATTTCTATCCCCTCAATTCCCGTGTGACGAGAAGACGTTATATTCACCATATACTATAAAAAGAACTCAACAATTGACCATATTAATATTTATCAATTCCGAATTAGAAAATCCTGACTTATTGCATACTGTTTATTGATACTGTATACGAAGTCGATATCAATTTCGGATGGGAATTTATTTTGTTACCGTTTAAAAACCGTCAGTATCGCCCTACGTTTGAAACATTAGTTCTCTCCATCGCAGTGAAGAACATTCGAATATAATACCGCTCATTCTGTCAGACGGTACCTCGAGTAACATGAGCGACATCTGAACATCTTTTCCAGAAACTCAAACTCTTTTTCAAATCTCACTTGGTAACTGTACCTCTAACAACCCCAACAAAAATCGAACCAATGCGCAGATATAAACGGTTTGTACAATGAGCAAATTTCAAGTTATAAATACACACTGAATCTTCACAGCGTCAGTAAGATGAATTCGAATCGCGTATGGTATTCATAAATATATAAATGGATGTTTTTATCGTGCATTTTGTATTTCAAAGGTCTGTTGGTGTAAATATATATTCCATCATTATAGTTCAGTGCTGAATTGCTAAATATTGCCGAACCATTTTGTTTTGTTTGGGGAATTCAAACCAATTACCAAACCCTATATGGCGAACGGTGGCAGGAGAATATTTTTAGAACCCTAGAATCATGACAAAACAATACACTGCTGATGAGTGTCCGATAAAAGCTTCATGTTTGAATTAAAAAATACCAAGTTTATTGCTTTTTATTTGTTCCACACTCACATCACCATACAAGTGTATTAGAAGGCGGTGTATTGTAGAGAATCTGGCGTTATTCATGTAACCTAGCATTCGAGCCGCGGCGAGCTACTGTGTATGTGTATATTGTAACATCGAATTTTGCACTGTCAAACTTCTTAGGCGTGTGTATTTTAGCCACAGGATGGAATTCAAAAGAAAAAATAGAAAGCTGCTGAACGCATGTAGCGAAAACCTCGACGTGTTGGGTGACGATTGTTCACCTGCGGAAGAGTCCTTGTCTGACTACGACGGAGAGGGTGACGATACTGTACAAGACGTTGAACCCGTCCAGGCTCTGAGTGAGCGAGAACCCAACTCAGATAACAAGCATACGTCTGATGACGAAGCTGTAGATGTACCAGCAGTTAATAACGTTGGAGACAAACGTAGTCGGATTATCGAGCCTAGCATACCTGAGGTGCGTGTCTCAACGGCAGAGGAATCACATGGTACTGTGAATGTACCTCAAGGGTTAATTGCAGAGAGTGATGCAGAGAGTTCTAATTATAGCACACCTGTCCTCGAACGCAAGGACACGGAACGTACACAACAGGATGAAACACAACATAGCAGTGATATAATTCCAAAGGAAACCGAACAAGGCAAAGATAACCACAATAATCACAGTGAGAGTGATGATAAAAAACACGACAACGATGGACATAGGAACAAAGCTGATGGGCTTCCGAAACAGAGTACAGGCCTGACTGAACAAGAAAAGAGAGTTGTCAAAGAGATGGTGGAGGAAGCGAACGCCGAAACAATGGATGCCAGCAAATACGTACCAGAGGTTGTGCAGATACAATCTCCAGCGCACGTAGCATCTGATGCTCCGATAGTGCCTGTGCATGTGGAGAGAAGTCCTATTGGTACTAAGATCTACGTTGTCCGGCAGGAGGATGGCGAAGAATCCCGGTTCGATATGAGAGCTGACCGCCTGATAGTCAAGGACGTAACTCCTCTAGCCCATGAGAGCACCGATGCTCTCCCGACACCTTCTAATTGGGGCTCTCTAGATAAAGCGAAGGATAAGGTAAATGAACTCATATAATGAGAAAGGTCAATGGCTGGAGTATTATATACGTATTTGCATTTAGATTTGCACGTAAATAGTGGGTAACTGTAACAATTGTTATTTTTTTTGTGTACAATATATATATATATAATATAAATATATATTTATATAAACATATATATCGTATATATATATATATATAATATATANATACACTCACACACACACACTACACACACTACACACACACACACACACACGCACACACACACACTCATATATATATATATATAGATATGCACATATAAACATATATTACATACTTACGTATATACATGTATGTGGATGTATGCATATTTGCAGACGTATATATATATATGCTATAATTTTAGATACATCTATGCGTCTATAAATCTGTATACGC